GTGCCCAAAATATATGAGGTAAAAATTGCACACAAACACTGTTCAGTGCTAAATAGAACCCTGCATGCATGGTCAAATGGTAGCTACCTAGCTGGCAAATAATTGTGGGAGTTGTACGACAGATGGAGATCTACCTTTTTTCCATCCTTGTTATAGAGGGGGCCCAAAAAATACTTGCACAGGGCCCTCCCAACTGCCCTGCCTAAAATGTTAAGTGCAATTTTAGCTTTAATATTGCTTTTCATAATCCATTGTAATAAAATCCCTTCTCCTGAATACATTTGCTTGAAATGTGAGTGTTTAATATAAAAGTGAAGGTTTACTGGGAAGGGAGGGGGACCCGGGACTGGGCCATGGGCCGCCGCGCGCCTCGACAATTAACATGCTGTCTTTATGATGTCATGGACCAAGCCTACAAATACCCAGCACAGCTCAAGTCTTAACCTATTTATACTTCACTTTTACAGAGCCCTTTCCATAGTTGCCTAATATTGTTTCTGCCTATCTGTGTCTCTCATTCATGTTATACCCCTACTAACTGTCACAGTCTCTTCCGAATAGTAAACATGTTTGTCTGGGATTGTTTTTACTAAACAGAGCATTGTAGTGTATTGAAGACACAAATTTCGAAATATAAGTTTAAAGTTTGGTTAGATTAATCTAAATGTTTCTATTTGATAGTTTCAATGTGCTGATTTGTTAACTAACACTAAAATAAGATGTGTTGCTTAGGGTGGGGGAGTAGACTTTAGGGGCTGATTTTTTGTAATTTAATTTTATATCAGGCTGCTGATTTTCTGTACCTAGCAGTGCAGCATGTTCTTGTTTCCAGCAATTTTGTCATTGACAAACAACAAGGTTCTCATAGTTGGCAAGGTTTGCGTAGAGGTGGGGATAAGGCTGCTAAGGTGGAATTTTAGGATATGGATTATCCAGACAGGTATTCATGAACTGGGACATCCTTTTAAATGGAAATGGGGCACATTTTCTAAGTAGTTTTTTTGACTATGTCTTGTTGCTTAGCTCAGCACCCTAACAATTGTTTGACCAGCATTAAATATGATTACATATTAAAAAAAATAATGTTTATAACTAATATTTTATCTATGCAGTGATGTAGATGTAAACAAACAGATGCAATTTTATCCTTTTTTTATATCTACATCACTGGACTAATACGGCTCCAATCTCTTCTTGAACACTATTTTATTTATGTATATTTTAGTATGTGTTGTTATTATTATAAATGACTAACTCACTAAAATAAATAGCACTAGGTCATGAAGTCACCAATAAAAATTCAATGATGCACTGCCCCTTGTCACATTTACAGTCACTCTTTCTAAAAACAGTCTGCTTTTGGCTGTCATATAGTGTTATGTTACCCTATCCCCTGGAGAGCATTCTAATTCATGGTATGGAATTATGTGAGAGAAGCATGAATGTAACAGTTTAAGGCACATTGAATCCTTGTATATTATCAGTGTTTTAATCATTTAGATCAGGGGTCACTAACCATTCCTCTCTTGCTAATGAAAATGTATCAGAAGCAGCGAATTGGCAGGGACGTGTAAGAATGTCAATATGTTTTAGAGCAGTTTTAGTTCAATCAACACCTTGCTAGTAAAAGCTGAACAACCTGCAGTTACCTTCATTCATAATAAAACACAAATTACACCATTTCCAAAGGATAATAGAAGCTGGGTTTTCATAAATAACTCTGACGGCTGTACAGCTTTCATCAGAAAGAAGGCAGCTGAATAGTGAATCCCATAAACCACAAACGTATTATATTTAAACAACTATATATTTTATTATGTTTCATGTAACCGGATACATGTGGCGGGTTGGTGAAGTGGTACAACAGGGTTTGCTTATTGATTAAAACAATATATATATATATATATATATATATATATATATATTTTATAAAACCTCCACTCACCATTACTTGCTGTAACATACATGTTGCACCTAAAATGTGTGGATGTTTGAATGTTCTTTTAATCATGCAATACAGGGAGGTCTCATGCAGCCCTGGATACCACTGTGTTCAGATTCTACTGCCATATATACACATTATTGTACAGTGTTCTGTTATATTAGATTATCAGTGGTGAGACAGGCTAGCACACTGTCACATATTCATATCTGTGTTTCTTTATTTTTTTTTACATATGATGCTGCAAAACACATTATCATTTACAGGCATGCGTGTTTTGTTCATACCAGCTTACATATAATAATCACAGGGGTTTTTCCCCCTTCAAATAATCATTTTTGCCATAAAAGCAAGATAGACACTACCGACCGGCATATTTTTGCACTTTATTGAAAATGTGAATTGCACACCCAAACAAAAATACTAATACAACATATATTTGTTTTGTCTTTAAAAGAGTAGCTAAAATATATAAAATATACATACTGTTGGGCTGCATTATTTAAAATCCTGTTGAGGAGCATGTATTTTTAAGAAGTGTTCTATAACGTTTCAGATTATATGTATATAATTTGTTTCGTGGCTGTTTCACTATATGTAAAACTAACTCCTATGGAAGCTTTTACTCTGAATATGATATTATGTACTTTTCCTTCTGCATCACCCCAACCTATTTCTGCAAAAAATAAAAATAAATCAGATGTAGTTACTTTGCTCAGTGCTAGCATATGCAATTATGGAATGAGGTTAGATTTCAATGATGCATCCTCTCCCAATTAAGTAACCAAGGTGTTCTAAATCTGAGATGGTCTATAATGAAATGTCTGTACAAAAGAAGACTATTCTAGTTTTTATCAATTATCTTTCGGGTTGACATTTTTTTTGTGTGTGCAGATCATTAAGGGGTTATTGTTTTTGTATTTTATAATTTCTGTGCTCAAATCTGATAGTAAGTTTTCTTTTTTTATATTTTTTTATTTTATGTGTAAAAAAGTTTTGTATGAATAAAGAAGCGTTTCATTAAACATTCACATGTGGCTCTGACAAGCCTCTCTGCATTCTGATTCTCTCACAGTGTGCGGTGCTGGTGTTCTTTTTAATTAGAAGTGACGGTCGTTTTTCATGTACAGGACAAACAGTAGGAGGGTGAACACAGCATGTTTGAGGGGGCTCACTGGTTAAAGATATGACCCTATTGTGTTGCAAGATACTTAGTCTTCCTGGCTATAGCTGCACAAATGCTGCACTCGACCCCAAACTTATTATTTAAAAGCTTATATTACTGTTAGACCTTTCTTAATGTTACCATACCAACCTATGGCTAAAAAAAGAAATATATATGTTAATTTTACTTTTTAGTGTATATCATTAAAGACGCTCAGCACTATGGAATATATTAGAGCTTTATAAAAAGAAAATAATGCTAATAAATGTAGCTCCTGGCTTCGTTGTATTTTCCGGATTATTAGTGATGGACTTATGGTCACATTGCATATTGTATGACAAAATCGTTCTAGATATCAGCAGCAATCTAGAAATGTATATGCATATTAGAAGGCAGCAAACAAACCAGCAGTGGTCAGCAATCCCAAGTTATAGAACTGACCGTTTAGATCAGATGTGGCCAAGAAGTAGATCCCCAGCTAGACCTACAACTCCCATGATGCTTTGCGAGCCTTACAGCTGGGAAATCAAAACAGGAGTTGTAGTTCTACAACAGCTGCAGATCTGCCATTTGACCAGTTATTGTTAGCTATCAGTAATATAGGAGTTGTCTAGATAAATTTATTTTTCATGGTTTTCAGACTTGGATGAGATGATGTCCTCATTGCACAGACCTCACTGATGTTAAGGTGCCTCTGTGCCACAGTAGAGTATTGATTCTGTGATTACCTTGCATTATCATTATGAAGGTTTTTTATTTTTTGTAATGTCCAGATAAGAATTCCATCTATTATGTGCAAACTAGCTAATTCAACGTCAGACTAATAAGTAGTCAATAGGTAGTACTCCACCTCATAGTAATGTTTAGAAGTAATTTACTTTTGTTGAAACCAATGCATAGCTTTTTTACCCATTTTTTTCACATATTTATTTACATTTTTATTTTTGACAGAACATTTTATTGGGGTTTGAAAACAGAAGTAGTTTGCTTTTTTTTGGAAGCATAATTCCATTGTACTTTTGTTGAAACCAATGCACAGTATCCTCTTTACCATTCCTGCGCTTTGCTTCATTGGAGACAGTTTTGCACTTCTTATCTGCAGTGCTGAAAGCAGGCAAGCTCAAGACCACATCGATGTCCAATAATACTTTTATTCCTCCTGATACCAAAGAACCTGACAATGTAAAATGCTTTGGAGATGATACGTGTGTGATTGGTTAGCTGCTCCAGCATGGTGGCTGCCCATGTCAATCTGTTGCCAGTCTCACCAATGCAGATGCTCAGGAGGAGCTTTTGGATCATCATCTTCCATGTTAAAAGAAGGATAGAGCTTTTTATTTTTAATATATCTCTAGTACTCAGCCCCAATCTACAATTATATTTAGTTTTGTACTGTTCTGCTAATGGGTTACACTGTTTTCTACGATTGGCACTCCACTGCTGCCTTCATTCCTGATTTAAAGAGATACTATTCACATATTTTGCTTTTGTTTTATTTGTTTATTTTTTTTCAGCACTTTAAAGTGTTGTTTTTTTATTCTTGCAAGTATTGCCTATTATGTGTAATGGCTAGCCCATGTGTAATGGCCTGTGTTAGTTAAAAAAACAAGCACTGGGATCTGGGGGCGGGGCCGGGCCGCTGAGCGGAGCGGCAGCCATCTTCCTCAGCTCCGGTCCACGCTCTCTAAAGATGGTGATTTACTGCCAAAAGTACCCAGCAGACCACTAACCATCGCTACCTATACCTGTGGGAACCCACCAGAGAGCAGAAGATCCCGGCTGGGGCCCTGTAACACAGAAATACCAAGCCTGCCGACGTCTCAGGCCTACCTCCGGGCTCCACTCTGATGCCTTGACAAACAGCAACGGTGGAACAAGCTGACCTGCTCCTAAATGTGCCTGTGGCTGCTCCCGATAGCCCTATGGGACATGAAACTGACGGCAAGTGACGGCCCGGTCCCGCTCCCCCCCCCCCGAACGGTGGGGGTTGTCCAGCAACCTAAGTTACAGCCCAAGATGGCGACCCCCCCTCCACCCATCAGACCTATGGGACGACAACACCCCTTTAATATGCCAGGGAATGACGGTACAATACTCACCTGCCTTAAAGGGCTGGAAAATGCCGAACATAAGCCCTGGAGACTGCGGACCTGTGGAAGGAGCCACCCGGAACGTCCACCCACCGGAGGCATGTTGTCCCCAGTCTCTGGGTTTGTGGGGGGCCTGGAGAGATTTGTCCCCAGCACCGCGAGCCCTGTGGAACCAGAAAGTGTGGAGTAGCGGTGTACCGGTGGCCGCGAGCAAAGCATGACGGAATCAAGTGTGTGGCCGGAACTGGGAGAGACATCTCAGGGGACGACGCCTCACAGAGTCCCTGAAGGTGCAGGGGAGGTGCAGGAGATGAATGGCCTGTGGACCCTGGGGGGGGGGCCCGCGGACTGTTTCACTCTCCGAGTGCCCACTTCGCCACAGACCACTCTGCTGGAAGGATGGAACTGAAGGGGGATCTGGAAGGGGGCCAAAGACCCTCTGGGAGCCAAAGCTACCATATTGCAGGATGACTGCCAGGGTCTGCCTTTATCAGACTATGGACTGCCATAACTGAACGAGATGGAGTGGGGAGGGGGAAGAGCCCGTGTACTGTCTGCATCCCCTTTGTGATCTTCTTAATATTATTTAAATTGTTTATCACCCTTTATTATTTTAGTTCAGGGTGTGCTGATATGCCCGGCTGCGCGTGCATGGCACAAGGCCCCCTGGGGCACAGGGGTACTACTCCACTGGCGCTTAACAGGGGACCTCACGCAGGCCCTTTTTCCTAACTTATGCTTCTCCTTCCTAGAAGGCTGAAACAAAAGTGTTTTTTTTTTTTTTTTTATATGTGTATGTGTATGTATATATATATATATATATATATGTATGTATGTGTGTATATATATATGTGTAAGTATGTGTATAACCTGACGTAACTCACAAAACGCTTAGCCCAGCACTACGCCATCACTGGCGAGCCGAATACGCTCCACTATATATCACACCAGTGTGCAAGTAGTGTCACACCTAACGGTTTAACTAACACTGGCAACCTATATACACTCCCAGTGGCCGATCTCTGCTATACTTTCCATTTTACTTATTCTCTCATTTTTATGCAGACACAGGATTTAAGTCAATACGCCTAACTATGAAGTTTTATCAACCTGTGCTACTACCGTAATTACCACCTTAGACACGCATACATGCATCTCCTATGTGATTACCATGTAGAATGCTATCTATACCTTACGCTTCACCAGTTTTGATATAACCAACTGTAAGCAACTATTACTATTCATTTCTTGTTGTCTATGCGCATATACTAAGAATAGGATGTTAGGAAATATGACATTATAAATGAACATCTATTGTAATCATAAATTCTGTTTTACTTTAGGCACCAACTTATGCCATGTTATACGTTATCTGATATTCAGTTTTAGCAGCAGCATGTACTCCTCGAATGCAAAAAAAAGAAACATGTTTTGGCTTTTGCAAAAGCCGCTGTATTGATGATATATTGCAGCCAATGTCATTGCAAGAAATAAAGCATTAAAAAAAAAACAAAAAAAAAAAACAAGCACTATAATGTTAGGAATACAAACATGTATTCCTAACACTATAGTGCTGGGGTAGCAGTTTAGGTTTCTGGCCCCCATCAGAATGGAATGAATAATCAGGGAAAGGCAACCTTTGGCACCCCAGATGTTTTGGACTACATCCTCCATAATGCTCTTACACCTGTAATGCTGGCAAAGCATCAAGGGAGGTGTAGTCCAAAACATCTGGAGTGCCGAAGGTTGCCTATGCCTGGAATAGGTGTTTAAACCTTTACCTATTCTCCATTGCCATGCCAGTCTTGCGGTGGCTTGCCCCGACCCCTTGACTGAGATCATTAACCTTGATGATCTGAGCTAATATAATGCTTTCCCAACATTCTACGTTCTAATTTTAGAACCTTGTGTGTGATGGCACAGAACCAAGTTAGCATAGCTGAAAAACAGAGGTAACATTAATTGAGTAACATGCTGTGATTCCAGAGGTACTGAACAGTTCTGATCCTATGCACCAAGTGCCTTTACTTTGGGGCAGAATTATCTATGTGTTTTGTTTTGAAACACAGTGCAAATTTGTAGTAGTGGTGTAATCACCAACAGAAGGTTCTTATTGATTCATTTTTTTCCATGTTGTCAACCTTACATTTAGAACTTTTCCCCACTTTTCTGAACAGGACAAATTAATAGGTTTCCCTCATAGGCTTGACTTTAGATTGCTCACCTGTAACAAACAAAACCAGCTATGTACAACAGTTGAACATAAGATGAACAGTGAGATGTTTAGGTACAATATGCGGACTAATGGATCTAATTAGGGAGTGTAGACTGAAATTATGGTTAAAAATGTGCAACTTGTTTCTGTGATGAAGAATTATGATTGAAAAAATAAACAGCGATGAGTGATGATACCCACATTATTCAGTCATCAGCATGGCTCCCATATCACAAGAAATGCATCCAAATCATTCATCAGTCACCTCAGTGGACGCACACGACACAGTGCACCTATCAAGAAACACCATGGCTCCCTCCAACCACAAGTACACTTGCACAACATCCAGTGGTTACTTACACCACATGTATGGTAACCAAATCAGACACACAACACCCACATATACATACAGGATCTCAGGATACAGGCTGGACTTAAAGGGACACTCCACTTCCCACCCCAAACCCCCATTTTAATTAAATCACTGTTTAGTAGATATACCCCAAAATGAAACAATGCTTCCATTTAAATATGTTTTTTTTCATTGCGGGTATAACTAAAAACAGCAATCTGTAAGCTAAAGTTCTTTAGCGGTCTGGAGTATCCCTTCAAACCTACAATGAACTGCTTAATTGCCAACTGTATCGTGCTGGAATTGTACATAGCTCTGCATGTGGGAGTTGATTTACATAGTTCCAAAAATAATGCAACTTCTTCGTTTTGAACCCTGCTACTTCTGGTTAGCAAAACACTGCGTGCCAAGATCTGCTTCTTTATTGCTATGAATTATCAAGACTCTGATATATGTGGAGCCATAAGCTAGTCTAACACTCATCTCACCATTGTACTTGCATTTAGCGTGGCTAGGCGTCTTTGTAAAGTAAATAATATTACATCTGATTAATTTTCCTCCATTAACAGGCTATAGCACTTATCTAATGATTTTTACAGGCGTCACAATGCTGTGTTTCGATTATAGGAACTATAGGTCTTGATCAGAATACTGAGCCTCTATGTTCTTTTCCCATTCTATCACAAGCAAGACATCTCATTTCTCATCATATCTCTGATTTAACGTAAAGCAAATCTATGAAGTGGGGTGGGAGAAAGGCCAAGAGGAGAGCAATCCATCAGTCATATTACACAAAATTCAATAATAGCAAATATCCCAGAGAAATTACTTCAATTAAATTTGCATAAAAAAGTGATAATCCATAACATTTTAATTACAATTTATATTTTGCATGCACTTTTCTTAAAAACCATTTAGCCACTATCTTCTAGATGAATAGCGTTCAATCAAAGCGTAACTACACTTGTCTTTAACTCACAAATAGCAGAGCTGTTTAAATTGTTCTTTGACTTCTGTGCTTTCTGAACTTTTATTTCATCCTTTAAGTGTTGACCTTCTGGATGTGTAGACTAAAAGCCCAGAACATTTGTATTAATCTCATGTAACAAATGCATGTTCCAAATTTTAAATCTGGGAAGTGCTATTATTCAAAATATCAACATTTCGTAGAACTCAACAGAGCACATTCAACAACACTATACAAGGTCAAGCAAATCAAACTTTTTTTCACTGATATCTCCAAAGCTTTGGATCAGCAGGAACAGACTATGGGAGAAACAAAAACCCATGAGCCGTCTATGTAGACACACTTTATGACACATACTTAACAGACAACATGAAATATGCAGTGTTCAGCATTCACAGTCAGAAAGAAAAAAATAAATAAAATAGTTGGAATGCAGGCATGACTAAACAATGTAAATTTATGCCATAGCAATACAGGAGAAATAAACAATTAAATGATGCACAGGAAAAAAAATAAAAATGTTATGGTAAAAGAAATAATCTAGAATTCTACTATTTCTCATAGAAAAATACCTATTAAGGATGTGTCACAAATATTTAGTTAGGACAAAATTTCTCTGTCATTTAAATAAAAAACAAAAAATAAAAACATTCTAGCACGTATCAAATGCATGTGTGACAAGATTTTATAGGACGGCATGAGCTTACTCACCGGTGACATGACTCTCTTGTATTGGTGAAGCAGAGGACTCTGGTAAAACAGAGGGCAAGCAGTAAATGGAGCAGAATAAGAGGCTTGGAGTTCAGGTTACATTGGATATAATAATGCTACAGGGAGACAAAAAGTAGAACAGTCTTTCCCACTATGAAAACATTTCAAATTGAAAACCTTAAAAGAAATTTAACAAACAAAAATAAAACAGAAAACTGCAAAATACTACTGTGGACAGGCTGCTCACTGTTTAATAGACATGCCCCTACTCATGGTATAGCGAGTAGGGCCAAAATTCACTAATACTAAGTCATTTTTACTTAGTATTAGTAAATTTGGCTGAAAGACCAATTTAGGTCTTTCAGCCTTTTGGTAGAAAACTCCCTAATACAGTAGGAATTAGGGAGTTATCTACTAAGCGGCTGCAAGAGAAGTCCCGAAATTCCAAAGTGCCGAAGTTCCGAAGTGTTAAAGTGGCGAATTGCCGAAATCCCGAATTGCGAAAGTCCCGAATTTCGGAATGCCGTACCGAACCGAAAATTTTCCCCATGCACATGCCTAATGCCCCTCTTATCTTATTAGCCTTTTATTTGCACATTAGTGGTTTATTTAAAGGGACACTCCAGACCCCTTAAATCTAATGATGTTTTAGAAAAAAAGGCATGGATATTTGATGACACTCGTCAATTCTCAGGGAATCTGTGTCACTGTAGCTCATTTAAGTTAATAATAACATAGCACAACAATGTGAGCCTTCCTGCTCCTGTGTTCCTCAGGCTCTGAGAGAAACAACAGCTAACAAATAAATACGCAATGGGTTTTATCATACCAGGATTAAAATGAGAACTCAGCTCAAAAAAACTCTAGTCTAAATGAAGTAGTGTTCCTGGTGTCTTATGGTGGGTTAATATTTGCACAGTGCAAGGACAAATATAGATGTCTAGT